ATCATCAACACACATTTCAAACTAATTCCAACCTCCACCTAATAACTCTAACCAAGCACGATCTCTGAAAAAAGCGATACGAATAATCCTCTTGAAACCAATCATCTCATCACTCGCATAAAAAGATCACCAGCACATTCCAAACTAACTCCAACCTCTACCTAAAACCCTAACCACGATCTCTGAAAAAATCGATACACCTCGATTCTATCGTAAACCGCCCCTAAACTTCCAAGGGTACAAGCATCCAATTACCCTGAAACGCGAGCAAACGCGAGCCCGCTGTCGCGCGAAACAGACCGCACGGAAAGAAGAAGAATTGCTCGGCGAGTCTCGCTCTCCGAGTAACAAAAGCAACTTCGCCGCGCTCCGAATTTCCGCGAGCGTTCCCCGTCTGGTTCACGAGCGGAGACGATTCTGGTGCGCGTGGGTGTAGGTCGGGCGGGCGGTACACGTGTGTAGTATGCACACACGGGCGCCCAAGTAATTCGCGCAATTTCATCTAAATTCCGCAGCAACGAAATTTCTCGCGTCGTCTCTCCGTGGCTCGCGCGCGCGCACACACACTGAAACGCGGCGGAGCCGCAACGCCGGCGAGGAGCTACCGTAATGGTATTTCTTACGCTCTTTGTTTATCACGAGGTTGGCCGGGGCGGCCGGCGCGGCGCTCTCGCTCTCGACGTTATTATGAAATACGATTAGGTCGGTACACCTCTGTGCTCTCTTCCATTTCTCGCCTGTGCCCGTCGTTCCTGTCTGCCTCTGTTTCTCCCTCTGACCCGCCGTTGCTCACTCTTCGCGTTAGTCTTTGGTTATTTCGAATATTCGCGAGCATCGACGGATGCCTGCGCCCGGAATACCGTGTCGCGCGCGTCTTAGATTCCAAGAGGTTTTTACTGTTGGTCCGTGTAGGGAGCAATGATTATCATTGGGGTTGGGAGTAATGGATTTCGTAGGTTTCGTGGGTGTGGTGTGTTTGATAGTGTTTGAAGGGATGCTCGGAGTTGGTAGAATCATTCGTTTTCGTTGATAATTCAATTAGGGAAAGAATTCTATTTTATGGGAGGAACTGTCAGAGAGTTTAGAGGAATGGGAACAAGATTGTTCTTAAATATGTAACAGTAGCTGAGAATATTTTGAGACTAGAATTATGTACCAGTGAAAATGACTGGTTTCGATTTTTTTTAGCAATTGATATCTTCGAAGCATTGAATATTCGAAATGATTTTGAAAATAGTTTCATTTGAGTACTGTAATGAATGTCTGAAGAAAATAATCTATTGTTAGTTTTCATAGGAATTGCATATTAATCGTATTAAATCGGTAGTTCTAGTGTAGATTATTCAAAAACAGGAATTAGAATCATATGGAATAATTAGAGAAATATTGCGAAGAAATGGAAATTGGAAGTGAAATAGAAAATAATATCGCACATATTTTATACGACGCGGCAATATTGCATTCCGGGTACCAACTGCATTTTCGACGCGGAGTCGATTTTTCAGGCTCCCGGACAGACACGACTGCCGTATTTTTCGCCGATAAATCGTCGGGGGAGGCGCGAGCTGTCGCGGCCGCAGGATCGCGTATCTCCATATCACCCCCGTCACCGGGGGTAAGTGCAACCAGACGCGTGTCGGCGAAAGAAAACCCGGGGCCGGCGTCTATTTCCCCGTGGAGCCGGTCGCGTCCCCGTAAATAACTCGGCCGGTTTTATTCCTTTCTCTCGTGTCGTCTCGCGGAGAACGTCCTCTCGCCTCGCGCCACCCCTTCCGACGAGAATATTACCGGCGTCGAACACACGCTTGGCCAGGTAACCGAGAAATTCATCCCCCAGCACCCTCCGCGACGAAGATTTCCCGTTTAGTCCGCAGTCGTCCGCGATTTACTATTTTCTTAGCTGAGGAACGCGGCGACTCGTTGCAGCGAATTATCGATCGAGGGGATGCTGGTGGCTTCGATAAGGGAGTATCGAAGAATTCGATGGATATTGTTTCGTGTATAAGGTGATTTTTATGTTTAGACTATTTGGTTTGGAATCTTTGTTATATCGGATGCTTAAATAATAGAGGAAAAGGAAACTATGCACTGATTACTATTCGAGTTAAGTCATTCGTTCGCAACTCAGTACTCAAAATATGAAAGTTTGATTTGGTTATTTAGTTCCTCGTATTGTTAAATATTTCGATTCGACATCCGTTTCCTTCATCGTCTCCGAGCATTTCGGAATCTCCGGTCAACGAGTTAACCCTTTGAACTCTGTAGGCTCCAATATTGTAGGAATAATATTAGATATTTCAATGAACCTTAAAGAAACTACCCTACAATTATCAGATTTTCCACACATCCAAATTTTGCACTAAGAAAGAAAATACAAGATCTGAGAAATGTAGCATTTTTCATTTTCGCCGGGGATACCATAAAAATTCGTTGCAGTTGTTGATAGGTTACAAAACCATCTGCTAAGGGTTAACCCTTTGCACTCCGAAGTTTTTCACCAGAAATATTTCAACATATCCCGATGTGATGAAGACGATATTTTGTAAAACCAACTCGAAATACACGCGAATTGACGGACAAAGCTATTTTACGTGAATATTTCTCAGAAATATGCATTATATGAAGTGCAATATTAAATATCAAACTTTATAGCTTCACTCAGGAAATCATTTCACTGTAGGAAATCAAGTGGTCAGGAAATCGACTGAGAGTCACCTCCCGAGTGCAAAGGGTCAATCTCTCGCTGGCGCCAGTAACCGACTCCCGCAACCACCGTACGCGCGAACGGAGTTGAATTTTGAAAAAAACTGAATTTCACCGTGTTCCTCGTCGTCCGGGCTGGCAATTATAGACGCACAGGCCCGCCGTTTTTCTTCCCTTGTCCCGCGATCGCTTTCGCAGCGGCGGCAACGCGGAACTCGCGGCGGAGGCTCGCCGTCGGCGTCTATTTTTACGTAAGGGGTTGCCGGCAGCCCACGCAGCGAACGCGCGGCCCATCAGCGCATTAACAATTATATTACGGAAGCTCACTGTTACGCGCGAGCGAATTCATACGCGTGCCTTCGGGGCTACGTGGGGTGGAAGCGAAGCGCCGAGGGAAGGAAAAAAATGCTGGCAAGAAAGATCCACCTCGTGGCCGGCGGGAACGGGTCCAGGAGGACCCGGAAGACGGTGGTACCTAGATCTATCATGGGAAATAGAAGACGAGACTCTGGGAACTGTTAATTAGGTGCTTACAGATCGAAGCTTGTAATTCGGAGTTCTTAGATTGAAATCGGTGTCAAATGTGGAAGTTGAATCCATCACTAGGTCGATGAATCTTCTGGAAGAATGCTAAATATAAGGTGTTTCTGATTATGTTTGTCAAATGATCTAACACTAGAATTAACCAGTTCAATCAAGCACTCAGCTTCCCAACAACCTAAAACCAGATCCTACAATTTTAAAAATTCCCCGAGCAAAGAATGAACTACCCCCAACAATCAAAGATCCCATAATCCCCGAAATCGCAAGAATCGATTCATCAATGGAAACTAATTCGCTCTTTCCTCTAAAATATGTCCAGCGCCGAGGTGACCTGACGGACGCGTTCCAGGGGGTCGCGGTTTCCGGGCGAGCCGCCGGCTTTGTCGCCGAGCGGTCAGGGAAGCGAAGACGGCGAGCGCGTGGAGCCTCGACAGGTTCGGTCGCCCTTTGGCCGCGTCCTAACAGCGGCTGTGATTTAATTTTTTTTCTCGCTGTCCGAGAGGAGCCGGCGAGGGAGAGAGAGAGAGAGAGAGGGCGGTATCATATTCACGGGTCCGGAAAAGCGGGGGACGCCGAAGGACCACCGGCGAGAGAGCGGAATCAACTGGACCGGAGCGAGTCGGAGCGATCGAGGGGTGGCTGGAGGGAGGAGTGCAGCGGCGCGCGGGGCGAGATGGATGGATCGGCGGAGAGAAAGGGGGCGAGGACGAGTAGTCTCGGCGAGACTTAATTAAACAGCGGGCAAAGCCAGGTTAGTTCACAAAGTGACCGCGGCACCTACCCCCTTGTAGCCACCAGCATCGGCGAAGAGCCGATATAGCCTGCCTTCTGGGATACACTAGCCCGCGTATCGGCTTCCCCGGCGCCGGGGAACGTCGACCGCGTCACGGACCGCCTCTGCCTACGCTTTCGATCGAACCAGCTCGCGAGCGAGCGCGTCCGCGACGGGATTAGTCGTTACATCTGCGGGGCTACTGAAATAAAAACTAAGTCCGTAGTCGGGTTTGTAGGCATTTAGATGTAAAAAACCCTTTCGCGAGCCTATCCTAGCAGCAAAGCCCGGGGACCCATTGCTTGTCGTTTTTAGTTAATCCGTGGATCCCAAGGTAGGCAATAGCTACGAATTTTACACCTGCATGTAATTTAAAGTCGAGGCGATCCTTGGGGCTGTTGCTGCTATGGTCGTTAGAAATTTCCGAGTCTCCGGCCAACGGAACCAACCGACGGACCGCTGGCGGGATGTAGGGTGTCCCGATTTTTGGGAATCCTACCCACGCGTCCGTCACTCCTCCGCCAGCGGATGATTGGTCAAGTTAATTTTAATTAATTTTCTCGCATACTCTCTTGCGACTGTGAAACTTGCTTTCGGGAACTATGATTCTTATCTGTGCTAAATGCTTCGAGTTCAGCTTTAACCCTTTGCGGAATGTACGGTTTGCCGAGATGAATCTTCCATATTTCGAAGGCTAAGTCGAAAATAGATGATTCGATTACTCAAACAGCAAGAAATCGGTAGTTTCCCTTTCTTCTATCGTTTAAGCAACTAATATCTAATTTAGCTTCGTTCGCTGAAGGTTCTGCACGTTCCAAAGAATCTTCCACGAAGGGTCAATAACTTCAGTTCGATCACCAACGCAAAATTCCTACCATTCAATTATTCCCGACAAAACCTGCCCTTCATACCGAATATTCCTACAACCAGCTACATCCCCAAACCGCCAAGCTATTCAACGGACACTTAAACACAAAATCCTTACAACATCCAGCGATCCAGAGTAAAACAAATATCCGCCATTCAAGCCAGCGATCCCCCGAAGTTCAGGTGTCGAAGGGTTCTTCCTCTTTTCTTATATTCCCGAAACACAGGGGACAGGGCAGGGCGCGCGCGTGTGTACGTGTAGTCGACAAAGCGGCACCAAAGAAGTCTACGGAACCGGGCAGCGTACAAAAAGGCGACGGGGGTGGGGAAAAAAGGGTAGCCCGGCGAAAGTGGCTCGTGGCGAGGGTCGAAGG